TAGAATTGCCATATATGGCACTCCACTGTTTCTAGCCCCAATTATTGCCATACATGTATATGGCACTCCACTGTTTTTAGTCCCTAATATTACCCTTATGATGGCACTCCACTGTTTTTAGTCCCTAGTATTGCCTTATATGGCTCTTGACTGTTTCTATTCCCTCTTATTGCCATATATGGCACTCAGCAGTTTCTAGTCACTATTATTGCCATATATGGCATTCCACTGTTTCCAGTCCATATTATTGCCAACTGTTTCATTCTCAATTTCTTATATACCATAATTCATTTTCTAGACATTCATATGTCATTTGTTTGTGTTCTAGACATTCATCACTCAAACTAGAAAAAAATAAAATTGCATCGAAGTGAAGCAAACTATATAAAAATAATAAATAATTTGAACTTTGAAATCTAAGTTTGGAAGACACATAAAGGGTCAACAAAATATTTAAAAATTGGATGGAAATACTACATACAATAAAATGATGCAACTACAAGAGCAGATGGGTATGAATGTCTTAATATTGACACATAATTCTGGCGCAGTAAATTCAAATCTTCTGATAGAATGATGGGTGTCAATACACTCTGGCTTTAATATTCATCTGAATTGATCACAATGTCTTTTTCTGTATGACCTTTCTGTGACCTGTATTAGTAACTTTTCTGTTAGTTATACTTGTTGGAATGGAAGACATCAAGAGTAATCTCGCGTACGTTCGTTATCAGTACAACGGTTCTAGTTTACTGTGTCGATGTTTCCGGCCCCTTAAATAATCATCATCCTGAAATAAACAAAATTAATTAAAATAAAAATTAACACAATATTTACAAATACAGTTGATAAACATTCCCTCTATCTCCACTCTGGGGACAACTTTTATCGCATGTACCGGTAACATGTGATGACATGTATTTTATGCTAGATCATTAAAATATGACTTATTTTGACGGTAGACACACCCATCGATTATGTGAACATAATCTCTACAAATTGAGCGAATACAGTATTTGAGATGTCAGACCTGTTAATTATTAGCACAACAATTGTTCTATTATCATTTCCATTTGTGAAATTTTCTGAATTCTTAAAAGGTGTGAATTATTGATTCACTGAATAAATTTAGTCCATTGCATGATCAGTTTATAAAGAAACTGTGATCAACATCAGTCTGTAAATACACCCTCTAGCTCTGTGTTTGTCTGCCAGTAACCACTAATCAGGCCTGGTATTAAGTGATCATCACATAAACAGACGGGTTGATATTTGCCAGTTCTACTGTACAGCATGCATACTAGGTAGATCATGTGAAGGGTACTTGACAGGATGAGAACAGAATTGCATCATGATCACGAGAAGAGGTTTTTTGAAATCAATTAACATTTTACAAAATAATATTAATAAGAAAACTGCCTTTTAAATAAATCTTTTATGCACTTTCTCAGAAATCATGACCTAGGCTTTCATTCCCGAAACCAGAAATGTTGAAATGCCAACTATTTTAAAGTGAGAAAATAAAATAGATAAACTTATGAAAGAAATACTCACATGTGCTCTGTATGAATCTCGTAAATATATTGGTGACGACCTTCCAAATCCCTTATTTTGTTCATTCATTCTAATAAGTAAACCTTCTTTTTCTTTGCCCCACCTTCTAGCGTTAGATTCAAGCTGTAACACAAAATAGTATTGTCATTTTTAAAGTTTACAAAGCAGCTAGAAGCTTCAGATCAAAAGAGACAATGTAACTGCAAAATCTGTAGTCATTGGTTTTCACCACAAGACTTTTTCACCCAAATTTTTCTGCACTTTTTTTTATATATTTTTCAGTGATTATAAAAAAAAAAATGAACCCTAATTTTGGCCCCAACAGACAAAATTTTCAGTTTTTACTCCAAAAATTTGGCTATTTTTGACCCAATCTTCAGAAGCAAAGAGCAGACTATAAACAAGACTATTTTGTGATGTTACAATGAAAAGAGCGAACTGACAATGAAAAGGTTAAGTTTGGAACAAACTTATTCAACTCTACCTTGAGAAGTACATGTATCATCTCACTAAGACTGAAATTCAGATGAGATGCACTGGTACAGAACTAACCGAAAAACAAACAAACAAACAGCGCCCTCATTAGGTTAGCACAAACAAAAATTACTCACTTGTTTTTCTAAAGACATGATTCTTCCTTCTGCTCTGTCTAATTTAGCATATAATTCCATTCTTTCTGCTTCATCCAAGGCACTAGCCTGCAAATAAAATACAATAGTGTTACATATTTCGAAAGCTCAGAATGTCTGCTACTAAATATAGATTACAATAACAATGTAAACAATATTCAGACACATGAACAATAATAATATGATGGATATAACCACACAAGCCTTCAGTGAAACTATTCTCACAAACATGTGTACATTTACCTTATTTAGAGGATTAGCTTTTAAATAGTCTAATTCAGCTCGTAGTCTAGCATTGTCTGCATTCAAAGTAGCATAAGCTTCAGATTTTTTGTCAGCTGTTGGTATAAAGACATAGAATCAGTACGAGCAGTCAGATTCAATATTGGTACTGCATTTCTCTCATTACAGTTCACAGTTATTATGATAGAATTTCCATAAATGCACTAATGTAGAATGTTTTATTCACTACCTTATTTGGTCTTAAATTAAAGATGGTTGCAGGTAACACACATTTCGGACAGGAATTTCCGGAAACGTGCTAAATTATTCTTTGTGATTGGCTGAGTACCCGAACTAGTTTTTGAATTATCAACCTAATTTACAATCATGTGACAGACATGAAACAAAGTGTATCCAGATTATTTGTGTGATTCCTTCCTTCATTCTGCTCATAACATTCAGCCATCTTGAATCAGATTCTGGTACATGATGTATGTGTAAAGTTTAAATGATCAGTCATCCATGTTAGCAATAAGGCTCAGAAACAGCATTCATTAAAAACAAAAGGGCCATCAGTCAGCCATTTTTTATCAATTAAATTTAGGGGGTTAATGATATGCACTGAGGACTCATTATGCTTAATCCACGGCTGGGATCCAGTTCTGAAATGGCAGAAATGCTTGATTTTGATGAATTTTTAGCACTAAAATGGCCGCCATTTTACCATCTTGAATTTGATCATAAAACAAATACATGTGTATGACATGTGACATTATGTGAAGTTAGAAGGAAATCGGCCTAGGCATGTCTATAAGATACAGGTGCAGACGAACAGACAGATGAACAGTCCCCATGTTCATTTTATTTTGCACATAAATATCAAAATACAATGAATAAACTCGGTCAAATGACAAGACTCAACATGGAGCAAGTGACAGACAAAATAATTATTTGAATAAATATGATTCGTGTTGTATTTATCAGACAAATACTGGACAAAAGGCGCAGTTTGCCACTGTGCTCCAAATTTTGGGGAAAATGATTATGAAATATCAATATAGTAACTTACCAGCCATCTGACCACTCTTTATCTTGTCATTGAGTAATTTCTCTAATTTTTCTATAACTTTTTCTTGTTCTGTAATAGTTCCTTCTAATTTCTTCATTTTCTCCTTTTTGTCTTGTAATTTTTGCAACATTGCTGACTGTGCAAGGTGGGCATCTTGTAACTTTAAATAGTCTTTCTCTCGGTCATTTTTCTGGCAAATTTAAAACAAACCAAAAAATTAATCACAATACAGCTAACTTTTTGTGATAAATAAAACTGAAATACATGTATATACATTTATTGTACTTTTTTTAGACAACAGCATATCATCGCACAGTTTCTGGGGTCTCAATGTAAACATATTCTATCATGAACCTCCAGAAAATGAACCCACAACCTTCCTGATGTGAGGCAAACACACTAACTATATAAATGTACCATTTGCCCCATTGAGTGGACTGTCAGGACTGTTTCAAATATTTCTAATAGTATATTACCCGGATTTGTTATTTGATTTTAAAACCACAAACCTTTATAATATCATTTTGCAATTTCTGTAATTTATCTTTATAATTAATTGCTTCTCCTGTTTGGTTCATTAACTGTCTTCTCAGTAATACTGCAAATAAAATAATAAATAAATGAGTAATGGTTATGGAAATGGCTGCCAGTCACCCATATTTGATTGCAAATGAACATACACAATGGTTGCCATATTGGATCAGATGATAATTAACGATAAGCCCTAATTTAGAATCATAACATTTTAATGAAATCAACCTAGTCATGTCTGGAAAGATGATACACTTAATATTAACAAAGACAACAAAAATTACTCTAACAGTGATTTTGTTTACAAGATACACGATTCATAATTCTAAATACTGACAGTAATGCATATTTCATCTGGGCCAAATAACAAGTTTGAATGCATATCGACTCTGTGACTAGTCAAGCATACAATTATGACAGATTTCAACCACAATTTTCTGTACTGTAATGCATTAATTATTCACTGGGTTTTTAATTTTGATATTTTTGCTGATAAAACTCATTGTTTCTTTGACAAATTTGTGAAATTAAAACACAGTGAGTAAGCTGAAAACATCAAAATAGTGAAATTAAATGTCAGTGAAAATAAATGCTTTACAATATACAAGAAAATCTGATATTTTACACTGACGAATAAATCATAACAAAGTTGGACATTGTTTGGCTATAAAATACCCAAGTTATTGATAATTAACATGAAAAATTAATAACAGCGTCCACGTCAACAACAACAATGACATTGGGATCCCTATAAATCATCCCC